TGTTAGACTACCTCCACTAAATCATTGAGTTGTTCTATGACAGAACTATGAAAGGCCAATTGAATTATGATATATAGAGATAATATTTCCACCAATTGCATGACTCTTGTTTGGTTATCATAACATGACCAAAATAGAAAAAGAATCTGTAGTGCAGAAATCAAAAGAAATAGGTTTCTTTACAAAGAATTGATCTTTTCAAATTAATTGTACAATTGCAGGATGTTAGTTTCATAGAAACATACCGGAAAAAATTGACCTAATTTTTGTTTTTTATGCAGAATAAAGTAGACAGCAACAATAATATCAACACGACCATATTCCATTCTAAACCAAAACATCGATCTCATCATTTTTATGCAACTGTGAACATAGAACCTTTGCAGGAATGGAAAGAGAGAGCAGATCTGAGAGGGAGATTGAGGGAGGGTGAGAGAGAGGGCACCTTGCGCAGGTTAGGACTTGGAGGGGACAGGGCGGCGGCGCGGGCATCGGGGAGCCCTGTTGGGGCAAGCGGCTGCCCACGGCGCGTGCGCGGGGGCGCTCTCTCGGTGCTGCGGCTACCGGTGGCGCGGGCATGAGCGAGCCCCCTAGGGGCGATGGTGGCGGCGCGGGCTTCGGGGAGCCCCTCGGGGCGGCGGCTACCGGTGGCGCGGGCGTCAGAGAGCGCCCTCAGAGCAGCAGAGGCGTAGGCATCGGATTCCCTTGGCGGCGGCGGCAGCACGGACATCGGGGAGCAACGGTATGGCGTGGGAGGAGCCCGGCGGCGGCAGGCGTGGGAGTGGGAGGATAGACAGCCTGTTCGGTTGGCTGGTTCGTTTCGTTGCTGGTTCGTGAAGAAGTACTGCTGGCTGATTTGTGTGAGAGAAAAATACTGTTCCGGCTGGAAATTTACGATCGTTTACGACAAGCCACAGCCAAACATACAGGCTTAGAATGGGGCAGGTGTGTGGCTAGGGTTTCGCGTTTTTATTTATGCCTCCACGTGGGACCCACACTGCAGTATTAGTAGGCGCGTCTTCGAGTTTTTCGCCTGGGCCGCGCGGCGAGTGCTGGGCGCGTCCTCTAGTTTTTCGCGTGAGTCGCGCGCGAGCAGGAATCCTGTCTGTTTCGACTAGCCGTCAGGAGTCTTTCAGTGCATTCCTGACGGTCTTTATGTTTCCTGTGGGTTTTCACGAGCCGACAGGAATACTCGGACACATTCCTGTCGGTTTTTTACCAACCGATAGGAGTTACAGAAATTACTAACGGTTTGAACGAAACCGACACAAAAAATAGAAACCTACAGGAAAACCGGTCTCTGGTAGTGTAAGTTGTATGTTTGCCGGTATACTCCATCTGGTCTAGTTTATAGGTCGTAGTATCTGATTGATATGGTCTCCTAAATCAAACTTTTGATAATTCATTAATTTTATATTATATTGTTTATGATTATTGGATAGTACATTTGATTACAAATCTAAAAGTATCAAATTTGTATTACAATAGTTAAAAAATTATTGGTAAATATTATAAAGTTTTTTTTTGTAGGGAAATCTTAACATACGTGAAAAGTATTATAAACTGGACTGAACGGAGTATAAAATAGTTGAGTAGCTGTTCGCTGTGCTTTGCGTGCGTCCATGGAGAAGACGGCCGCATTTTGCACAGCGCGCGCTGCATGCCTATCGTAGCAAACTGCACGTGATTTTGCACCTGGCCTAGATCTAAAAAACTGGCAATCATAGTCGGTACCCCAATGCGAGATTAATTAAAATATCTACTGCCAGCAGTAGTAAACTAAGATATCCGGTACGTGCTGCTTGCGTTACGGGAGTTTAAAATGTTTCTTACCTGCTGACAAAACGGTCAGTCCGCTTTAACTTATCAGTCAGTTTATCAATTAATCTACAGTATTTTTCTCTCGCAACAAAACAGCTTCAACCGATTTATCAGCCGACTTTAATACCAGCCGAACAGTAGATATAGATTTATGAAAGGCCAAGGTGAGATGTTTATAGCAGCCTTGATCCAACAATGATAAATTTAATTAACTCGTGGGCGGCCTTCTGTCACGCAAAAGGCAAATTAAGGGAAACATACGGAAACGTACAAAAGGTAAATTAAGGCCAAGAATAGTTTCAAATTAAAGAATGCGGTTGGATTTTTGTATCCCAGGGTGTGTGTACTGTACTATATATAGCATATAGCTAGCTCGACGGAGCAAAAGCTAGGTACCTGGAGCTCCAACGACTGATTAACTGCGTGTTTGAGACTGCTCCATACAACATATACCCCCTAATTAGCTAGGGGCGTGGGCCCGGTAAGGCCAGGACACATCAATTTCTATTTATACTAAAATTTTGTAGGCCGTAGAGGAAGGAGTATTATTTTACAGACACCTATCTCTCTATTGCTTAGCTAAGACTACGTTCCTAAAGTATTATCTTGTGCAATCGTTTTGTAATTTATTTACAGGATTGCTCCGATCCACGCAGTACGTCCGTTTCTCAACGCTGATAATCTTCGCGTGGATCGGCAAAGAGCCATTTGTACAAAACTAGAAATATGTATTATTATTGGTTAATCAATGGCGCCTACAAACAAGTCCAGATATAGCTCACCCGACTTTGATTTTGACAGAACGCCAAATCGTTGACATATATTTCTGTACTTTTACCTCATGTGTGTATCACATTTCCCTGGTGGTGTTGTGCAAACTATCATTTTCACCTGATTTAAGCACAAAACCAGAATCCCAAGAAACGAATTTTATATTATTTTCCTTGACTTTTTGGATGGGGAGAGGCCACGAATGAGCTAACCTTTATACAAATTCTGATGAAAAAGAAAAAAGAATAGACAATAGAGTGATGACCTGGTCCTGTTCGGCTTGCTGATGAAAGTGGCTGAAAAATACTATTCTGACTGAAATGTTGTGAAAGAAAAATACTGTTCCGACTGAAAAAAGAAGTCGAGCAAACTGGATTTAAGATAAGCCGAACAGGGCTTGCTTCCAAAGAACTAGCACTACCTATAAAAAGAGGAACTCCTTCCCATGGCCTTCTTGGACATGATTGTGTGGAGTGGAGGGGACTGGCTAGTACTACTATCAATCTAGATACTCATAATATTTTTGCAAATAATTTGCAAGGATCTGAGGTAACTAGTAGGTAATTTCTTGATCAGCACTACTGTACTAGCACATTTGTTGTCGTTGGCATCCTCACTTATGTATAGATCGATCATTCCATCCTTGTCTAGCTAGTTCTTTGGACTTGTGTTTGTGTAGCCACATATATTCCTTTTTCTTTTTTTCCTCTTAATGAAACACGTGACTCGTGGCACGGTCGAGAAAAACATATATTCCTTTTTTCTGAAAAGTGGATATCAAAAAACATTTTTATTTGAAATCTTCGTTTCTCTGGATCATATATACACCACCAGATCAAGAATACTGCAACGACAATTTCTACTACATATATACTTTGAGTCTGTTTCTGTGACAGGTGACTGAAGGTTTGTTTAACCATCAGTCACCAGACGTGGATGATCTTATCAGCAAATTAACCAGCCGCGCCAGCGCGTCCCCGTCCTTGTCCCGGCGCCCAGGATGCCCAACCCCTAGGCCATCAGCTCCAGCAACCCTGCTCTCTCGCACGCACACCACCTGGGTGGCGGCGGTGCCTGCAGCAAAGCCGCATGGAGCCCCGCCCCGCCTGCTCGACGACCTCGGCAATTGGCACCCTGCGCGGCGGCGGCAACAGTGTCCTGGCTAGCGGCAGTGCCTGCGACACAGTCGCATGGAGCCCCGCCCGACTGGCCGTGATCGGCCGCTGAGCCCCCGCACCACTGCTTTTGGAAAGAAGCAGAGGCATGCTCACCGGCCGGACTTGGACATCGCCGTGGCTCGCCTCACTTGGATCTCGTGGTGCTCCGTTCCTCACCTCATAGAAGAAAGGTGGGACAGAGGAAAGTGACGGATTCACAGATAGGACAACACAGAGGCAGAGGAGTACGTATATATGAATCATCTAGAGGGAAAAGTGACGGTCAGGACTAACACACAAACAGAGAGGAGTATACATGAATCATCCAGATCCCTTCATCTCACATCTGATGTATCATATAAGTTGACTGACAAAAAGACAAACTCTCAGGCGACTGCGAACTAGTAATCTCATATACTTTTGGGAAAGCAAACAATTATTGGTTTTAAATTATTATCTTGCAATTGGGCATCAATAATAAGGATGTTATCATTTGCTGCTGCAGCTGTTAGAGTGTTATTATACCAACCCCTGCCGTCAGCTGGCAAAATGGAAGACTCGAGCTTATTTCTGCAATGGGCGATGAACACGCTGCGGCACGAGCAACCCGCGGCCGCCGCCATCAACGACGACTGCAGCAGCGAGGCGACGTTCCCCTCACTCCAAGCGCTCCGCGAGGCGTCGCACGCAGCCGAGATGGTGCAGGAGCTGATCGCGGAGGCCCCAGCGAACAGCTGGAGCTTAGGCGACACCACCGACGGCAGCAGCGGCGGCCGAGGCAACAACAACTCAGCCCCTGTATCTGCGGCGGCGGCCATGGGCCACGATGTCGTCTGGCCTGCGTCGAAGACCTCGCCGGTCAGCAGGCCCGCCTTTAGCAGGAGCAGCAGCGGCACCAACCCTCCTCTGAGCTGGAACTTCAGCGCCGCCGCCGTCTCGGCGCAGCTAGGCAGCGACGGCATGCTGCCGGAATTCGCCCCCAAGCGCGCCCTACCGCCGGACCAAGTGTACGGATCGCCACCGGCAAGGAGAGCCGGCTTGAGGAGCCCGGCGGGATCCATGTCGGCGCCGTACGCTCAAGACCACATCATCGCGGAGCGGAAGCGGAGGGAGAAGATCAACCAGCGGTTCATCGAGCTCTCCACCGTGATCCCGGGCCTCAAGAAGGTCCTGATCCAGATTAAATCCATTCATTTGTTCGTCAATATGACACAAATCACTTAATTAATGCAACGCTTAATTTCTGATCAGATGGACAAGGCAACGATCCTTTCAGACGCGACCAAGTACGTGAAAGAACTCCAAGAAAAGCTCAAGGACCTGGAGGCTGGCGGCAGCAACGGGCGCAGGAGCATCGAGACCGTGGTGCTCGTCAAAAGACCGTGCCTCCATGCTGCGGCGGCAGGGCCAGACGACGATGGCTCCCCATTGTCAGCGTCGTCAGGCACGCCGCCGGCAGAGAGGAAGACGCAGCTGCCGGAGATTGAGGCCCGGTTCTCGGAGAAGAGCGTCATGGTGAGGATCCACTGCGAGGACGGCAAGGGGGAGGCCGTGAAGGTGTTCGCCGAGGTCGAGGAGCTCCATCTCAGCATAATCCATGCCAACGTCCTGCCCTTCGCAGAGGGCACTCTCATCATAACGATCACGGCAAAGGCAAGCTTTTTTTTTACTAATAACCAGTCTTTTTTCCAAGAAAAAAGAAACAGTTTTGGCATCTTCCACTGCACAGAATCTAAGAACCTTTTGAACTTTTGATGGTCTTTTTTTAAAAAATATGCTGGTTAGGAGTTCCTAATAATGGAAGAACATAATATATATTAAATACAAACTAAACAGTACGAATGAATGGCAGAATGCAGAGTTCAACCTTTACTTCAATGATAAGTTGGGAGAGAAAAAGTCGAAACGCTACAGTAGCACATGTTTTAACAAGACTATCATTATTGAACTTTAACTTAGGCTGTGTTTAGTTCGCGAAATGAAAATTTTTGGATGTCACATCGGATGTTTCGGGGATATTGAAAGGGGTTTTCGGATACTAATAAAAAAACTAATTATATAGCTCGCCTGGAAACTACGAGACGAATTTATTAAGCCTAATTAATCCATCATTAGCGCATATTAGTTACTGTAGCACTTATGGCTAATCATGGACTAATTAGTCTTAAAACATTCGTCTCGCGATTTCCAACCAAACTGTGCAATTAGTTTTTGTTTTCGTCTATATTTAATACTCCATGCATGTACCGCAAAATTCGATGCGATAGTTTAGGGTGAAAATTTTTGGAACTAAACTAGGCCTTAATTTGATTTCATTTTGAAGAGTGAAATTGCATCCATTGATCTGTCCCTGACACATCCGTCTTCAGAAGGTTCAGATCACATATATTTAACTATGCCTGCGCACTAATTAAGCCTGATCTGCTTTTATCTACTGTATGATGCATATATATAGTTGTACTGATGAGTTTTGATTCTATCTTTTATTCAAATCATAATCACATCGAGTTACTGTCCTATATATGTTATAAAAAGCGTGTGATGGATATTATCATTATGCATTTTAATATATGTTATTACCAAATAAAATGTTTCTATTAATTTTCTCTATCTATAAATTCTTTTGATTGGGAGACCTCTCTCGACATTTGAACCTCAAGTAGAAACTTAGTATTCCAATATGCATCAGTAGAAGCAGAGAATCTGATATTAGTAGTGAGAACAAGATGGTTTTACAGTGTTTATATATTTTGGTTTGGTGACTCTTGATTAAGGAGAGAAAATCCTCATACAAGTTTATCTAGTTGGTTCACTAGTAGAGAATAAACCTTCGGTTTTCACTAGTTGGTTCATGATACCTGGCCCCATTCGGCTTGCTGAAACTTGGCTGAAACTGGCTGAAAAACACTGTTCTGGCTAAATTGTTGTGAGAGAAAAACACTGTTCCGGCTGAAAAAAAGAAGCCGAACAAGCCGGCTTCTGGGTAAGCCGAACGGGGCCATTGTAATTATGTGCTAATCCCTCTGTTTTAGTAGCTAAGGTGTTTTAGTTTGTTTTAAGTGTCAAACTTCTCTACATCTAAATATCATGTTAGTTTAATTAAATCCACCATGAAATGCCTTCATAGTGCATTTATTTGGTATATATTATAGGTGTTTATACCATGAAATGTCTTCATTTGCAATATTGGTGTTTATAAATTTTTTTGTCAAAATTAGAGAAAAGTTTGACTTAGGATAATTCTAAAACACCTTACTTATAGTACATTATGCACAACAAACAACGGTTTTGATTAGAGGTAAACAATACAATATCGGGTGTATATATTAAAGATGAAAAGACGACTTAAAATCCTTGTATACTGATAGATACAATTCATTTCAATGTTTCTAGTTGTTTCACGCCTCCAGATTATATATCACTCAATCATCTATACTACAACTACACAATTTAACAGTTATATTGGATAATGATCTTACCTTTGTTTGAATGGTCAAGGTGGATTTCCCCACCTGAATTTGCATTGATATGTTATGACACAACCATAGATCGGCGATGCTTTTTAGGAAAAAATGACACAAATTCCTTCAATTCAAGGAAACTACCAAGTTAATCAAGGCCTCATCATATCACTTGATTGTTTGTACAGAAATTGACCATCCAACGTGAGATAGGAAGTTGATGGCACTACTATCGTCTATACTACTATTGGGTTTTCACCTAGAGAGTCCCTCATGATTGGGAACAAAGGGGCACTGTGACAATGTGTCCAAGTAGAAAAGCGGCTCCCGAGAGTGTCAATGCTATCAGCACATGCAAAAAGTTCAGCACACGATGCTTGCTTCTTTGGCCTCAGTCACAAATTGTGGAGGGCATCGTTAGGGTCCAGCCACTGACCTAACATGAAGCATGTAGAGAAGCACATGACAACCATGGCCAGCAACCCGCCACTAAAACCCCATAGGCAACCTCAGTTTTTTTTTTCCTTTTGATCTCATCATCTATATTTTTTATCTATCAAAAAAATGTCAGTTAATGTGCCAAACTATGTGCTATATATTCATGTTGATATAATAAAAAAATGTTTGATCAGGTGGAGGAGGGCTTCACTGTAACTGCGGAGGAGATCGTTGGCAGACTCAACTCTGCACTACTGCACAACCAGCATAACAGATGCTGCAACAGCACTGATGAGTGATGAGGAAACAACAAACTAGTTAATTAATCTAGCGCACGCCCTATATATATATATATATATATGTGTGTGTGTGTGTGTAAATATCCGCGGCGGTATGAAATTAAAGTCCGACGGTATATGATGATGTGGAGTGTTTCACTGTTTCTTCTTCTTTTTGTAACAAGTTTACGGCTTTGGGGTTTTTTTTTCCCGTACGTCTCCCTTCACGTAACGTGCATGGGATTGACCATGCACAGTGCATGCATGAAGATGCACACTAGTGGATCGATGTGCTCGCGCGCAACGAGAATTCCTGCGCCACATGTTTGCAATAATATAAGTTGGCGCTTCGCATGCAGCATGCAACGCACCCATGCAGCAAGAAACTGGCCTGTGTTTGTGTCACGGAAAAGCGCACAAGAGAGATGAGTTCAGACTTGGTCACTTCCAAGTTCCAACCAAACAAATCGCGCAAGTACCAAGCAAGTGGCCTGCTTGCAAGTTGTCAGGGTAGTTGATTTGAACCACCAAAGACGTGCTTGTAAAGCTATTATATATATACATATAGCGATGTACGATTATCACTGTTCATGATGTACTATAGGTTGTGATTATTATATACATACAGCCATGTTTATTGCGATCGATGTACTATATATATATATATATATATATATATATATATAGGTTGTGACCGTACATACCCATGCTGTCTAGGTCGATCGGTCGATCTTTTATCCATGGATTTACGATTAATCAGTTCAGAAAGAAGATTCAGAGAGGGTACGTTAAATGATTAATAGAGTCTCTCAGTAATAGCATGGATACAATTTTAAACTAATGCAAATGTTCTTGTAGTCAATCATCTGGGATCGAGGAAACTGATGAAGAATTGGATCGGGAGTTATTTTGTGGTAACTAAGTTACCTGGGAGAAATTTATTGCGGAAAAAGAAATTGAAAGTATTTTCTCCGTCCTCAAAAGAATACAAATCTAGGATATATTGCATGGAGTCGAACTATTTCAAATTTAACTAAATTTATATAAAAATGTATCAATATTTATGATACTAATTAAGTAATTGTCATTAGAATCATTTGTCGAATATATTTTTGTGATATACCTTTCATGTTATGAACTTTGGTCAAACTTTATATAGTTTGATGACTAATGACAGGAATATAGAATTCCATCTTTTTGGGGACGGAGGTAGTAGTACGTATATATTTAATAAGGTTATGTTTGGTTATAGGATATAAAGAATGGGACGGTTCTGTCCTAGTTTTTTTGTTGAGACGATACCGGTTTTTTGTTTGGTCGTAGAGATAGGATTATCCTTATTTTTTTGTTTGGTTTAAGGAACGAAGAAGGGTATGGAATGGAAACTGTTAGGTATCCCTTTAGCGATGGGTCCACATGTCATTCTCTTTTCCACCCTCGTCCTCCCATCATCTCCCCAAACTGTTAGCCAGCATAGTGGACGCGACCTCCCCGGCAGCGCGCGGCCAGCCACGGGGGCAAGGCCTCCCTGGCGGCACGTGCCCAGAAGGGGGCATGGCCTCTTGGCAGCACGCGGCCAGCGAAGGGGGCACAGCCTCCCAGGCGGTGCGCGGCCTACCCAGGGGTCCGGGCAGCCCGACGCGACCCTACCGGCGATGGTGCGGGAGGGCCGCTCCCCCAACGAAGGAGCGGCGTGGCGTGGGAAAGCCCACCGCACCGTCGGGGACGACGGCATTGTGACGCTAGGGAGAGACCGAAGGGAGTCTGAGCAATGGAGGAAGAAGAGAAAACAGAGGACAACGACGTGAGGAGGGGATGAAGCGGTACCTCACATCTCAAGGGACGAGATAGGATGACATCTTTGAGGTATATTCTCATTTGGGTACCGTCCTATCCCCTATTGTGTCCACAAATGAACATTGGGACGAAGTGGGATATCCCACCTTGCCCGAGTCATGTCCCCAAACCAAACACTACCTAAGCAAAAACAATATAATACTATGTTACCTACTTAAATGTGTGTTATGGTGTACTATTGTAAAGTAAAATATGTACATGCACGTAATTAGCTGATAAAAGTGCAATTACAATAAGCAATTGTGCTGAAAACCTTGTGAGAATGATGGTATATGTTGTAGAGGCCGGAATTACTCTCTTTTTCAAAAAGATGTTCATGGAATATGCCAGGATTAGAATGAGTGGACCAGGCTCTCGACTAAGGTATAATAACATAACTAATTAAGGGAGTAGTGGTGTTTGGATAGATTAATTTAAACAGGGGCACGGTGTAGATTATTGGTTGAGTTAAATAGTTATTAGTACCATCTACGGTAAACCCTCTTCATGCAGGGCCCATTCTAATACTTTTTTTAGATAATGAGGCCGGACCCATTCTGATATGCAATATATAAATAATATACTATTCTTGGCAAATGCGTGTTCGGACATGAATCGTGATTGAAACCTTGTTGACACAGCAGACAGCGCAATCTATGATTTGAACCACCTCTATATTATTTTATTATGCGCAACATATATTTTCTTATTATCATTATTGCTAAGATAACCGAAAGGCATA